GATGTGATTTTCCATGTTTTACATACAGTGTCATCATTGCTTACCATATTATTAAGAGCACAACTCCAATAATACAAAGGGATTTTGTGTCCCTTACACTTTGGAGTAACATGGTCTCTGGCTGTACTCCTCTAAAAGTATGTTTTGAGTGTTTGATGATTAATCACTGCAAATTTCTAGCAATTCTAAGTGTTGAGCTGGTTTTTAATAATATTGCTGATGGGTATACTTGAATGTTTTAAATTGAGGTCAAAATACAGGTAATGCTCCACTTAGGAAATAACGTTTGTTTTTTTTGTTCTAAAAGCATTCTGTACTGTTCACTGAAAATGCTTTATCTCGGAATTGTATTTCAGAATGAAAAGAAAGTTCTATTCATGGGATGAATGTATGAATTTGAGAGAAGTCAAGGTAAAGTCGTGAACAAACCATGTTTAAAAATAAGTGTTGTTAGGCTTGCATGGAGGAAAAGGGCAGCTGCCGTGTCCAAGCATAAGGCCAAACTCTTTAAATGGTGACAGATTTCACAAAACCATGGGCTGCTCTTACTTTTAGAGGTCCTGCTGCTTTGTGGAATACCCCACTATTCTCAAGCAGTGGCCATGTCTCACAGCCAAGCCTCTTGTCTTTGAGAGAAGATAAAGAAATTGATTTTGTATGTGTGTATTCCTGTGGTTGACTATCCTGCTCTTTCATTTTATTTGCAGATTTCTAGGTATATCTCCATTCTTTATATCTTGTGTTTGGGGCATTTGTAGAAAGCACTGGGATTTTTGGCCAGCCAAGTGATAGAATAACACTTGAAATCCTGGGCTTAAATTCTGTATTTTGGGCATCTGGGCATTTTCTGTATATACAAAACTCCCTAACAAAGGAGTTTAGATTTAACTTATTGGAGGTTTCACATAATCAGTATATCCAAAAAGTACATCCATAAGAAAATCCTTGTTCATTAAAGTCTCATGCCAAAAAGAAAAAAAAATGAATGCTGGGTTTTCTTATTCAGTTCAGTGAGCAAGAGCTGTTACAGCTTCAGATCTGTCTTTCATTGTAGGGAATTAGGTTTTTATGCTAATCTTCTCTCCAGCTCTGATGTAATCCCTATAAATAGGTTTAAACTACTATTAATATAGTTGTTGGGTTTATTTTGAAATTAAACTGCTATTTTGTTGTTCTTTGAAACAGACATTACGAGATAAATAACAGTATCAGATGAATATGTTTTGTGTATTCTGTACTAGAAACTTACATGTTAAAAATTTAGTTCTGATAAGGAATCAAGGTCACCGTGGAGTTATCTGAAGCCATATTTTGCTCTGTTACAGTCTCTGAAGAAGCTAAACCATGCCAATGTAATAAAATTGAAAGAAGTCATACGAGAAAATGACCACCTTTACTTTGTATTTGAATATATGAAGGAAAATCTCTATCAGTTAATGAAGGATAGGTATGTCTTTTTTCGCAGAACAAGCAATGTGCTATCATGCTTTATTTAATGATTCTCATACTACCTTGAAGACCACATTGGAATTTCTGGGTTTGGCTCTTCTTGCAGCCCTGTTGATGTTAACAGGAGTTGCTGCACCTGCTTATGAGGGTAAAATTCTGCATTGCTCTGTGTTAAAAGATTGCATATTTTAATGCTTTTGGAAATAAGTTTGATCAGTTGTTAACATGATAGTTTGCATGCCTTTGTGTAGACCCATGAGAGAAATTCCAAATACTTTTTTTTTTCTTTAATAACCTTCACTTTAATGTATGAAGGATTGGATAAGCACTGTTCATTCTACTTTTGCTCATGGGTTTGGCTTAATGTGGGGATGCTCGTGTGCGTGTACATGCATAAAACCAACCTACATATAGGTTAACACTGATGTTGCAATCTTGGACAAACAGCACATAGCAAGACTTGCAAGGTGGACTTTGGAATAGGATCTGTCTTTGCAGTAACGTCTTTCTTTGCAGAATGCTTTTGCCTTTAATGTGTGTTTCCTTCAGACTTTGTCATGCACTTTTACCTCCTAATGTGCCGAGCTCTTGGGCTGATGTCCTGGGATAGCTGCTAGCGATACTAGCACAGAGTTACTTTGCAGCTGAGCAGCACTGCTCTCAATCAGGGTTCCCTTAAGGGTACCACTGGGTGACACCCCGACCAACAGTGCTCACTGTGCGGTGTCTGCCTTGCTACGTTACTGTGCGTTCCATGTTCACCTGGTCAAGCACACTGCCAGCCAGCCAGCTTCTGCAGAGAGATAGGATCATGAACCTCTCAGCAGAGAAGTTCCTCTGCAGCACTTACAGTGAGTGAAACTAAGGTCTGGTAGAGTTTTGAAGTGAGAGCTAGTTGAATATGTCTTATTTTTGTGCACAAGACTTGGTGGGTCTGTTTTCATCTGTTCATGATGTGTCATGCAAAATGAAGAAATGGGTGTATTCTGAAGATACATTATTTTTTCTTAATTACATGAAGTTGTTACTCTGTTTCTTCACAGAAACAAGTTGTTCCCTGAGTCAGTCATCAGAAACATGATGTATCAGATATTACAAGGGCTGGCTTTTATCCACAAACACGGTAGGTTTCATACTAGAGTTTAACTGTGTTGCACTTTTTTTTTAGAAAAGAAGATCATGCGTAGAAATAACATGAATAAAAATATCTAGCAAAGGCTATTAACTATCTATAATAAAATATTCTTATCTGTTTCAAGTATGGTGCAGTTTTAAACCATGCCTTACTACTCTTTGTTTTCCTATAATTGGATTTTCCTTTCTTTTGGAAAGCATTGGATGTTGTTCATACAGTGTTCAATAGTTCTTTCTACCTTAGCTACTAGATGAATAAACAAACTGTAGAAACTTTTATGCTGTGCTATACTAAACAATTCTGCTTCCTTAAAAAGATCTGATCAAGGAGCATTGATACATCAATACTTTTGTGTTCTGATACTATAACTAATAGGATACCCTACATATAAAAAATACTTGTATATAATATACATATAATAATGTTTTATATACATATAATAATGTAATATACATATAATATAACTTGTTCATTGAGAAATTCAAACAATATCCTTATCGAATACAATCTGAATTTATTTTAATACAATCTGAATATATTTTAATAGATGGGATGTTTCTAGGAATTACAGGCACAGTCTAAATTAGAGGTGCAGGGTGCTCACAGCAATAGAAAGTTTCACAGAGTTTGCAAAACTCTTAATTAGCTGAAAATGAAATAAGAAACAATGTTCCCAGTGAAGTCTGATTGACTTTCATGTACCCCGATAAGGCCCGTTGATGAATTCAAATAAATAATTAGTTCTGTTCAGTATTATCAAATACCCAGAAATTGCCATTTGCTTGTCTTTCTGATCAAGATCATATACTGTTCTCTGATTGTTAGCATCCTCTTTTCCTTCCGCATTTCTCCATGAAATCAATGAGAAAATTAGATTTTAAGAAAAACTTCAAATTTTAAGGTAAAATATTAATATTTTGATTTGACCATGTTTGAGGATGAGAGGTATGATAAATCTGAATATTCACATTTCACTGTAGTAGTTTCAGCCAACTTCTTAGAGTGGTTTTCAATTTGTGCACGCAGAAGTTGAATGCTTTATTCTAGCTTTATTCTAGCAAGTGAATTTCCAACAAGTTAATGTATAATATAATAAATTGTGTTCCAATTAATTAGTAGAATTGATTTGCTTAGCGACTTAACCACTGCCCAAGTATAGAGGTGCTCAAGCCAACAGCAAGCACTGAAGAAACTTTATGTGCCTGCATTACTAATAGTTAGTATTCCTGAGCAGAATTTGGATCTCTTTTATATGTCTGTATCTCCACGTTGTTGTCAGAATGATAAGTAACTAATTAAAAAATCATTCAAGGAATTTTATGAATCAAGTAAGTGTGTCAGATGCTCAATTTTTCCATTATCCAAAACTGAAAAATCAGTTGTAACTTTTGCAAAAGATTTCATTCTGAAATTGGTTTGGTGCAGAAATTGATGTTTCTGCAATAGCCAATTAATTTTCCTTAGTGTGCTCATGACTGTATACATTTGTTAATTTAAGAACACTTAGTGTAATATTCACTGGAGGGAAAATGTGTGCACTTTTTGGGGGAGGGCTACAATTCTTGTATGTTGAATTTATACTAAAAAAATAAAGAAAAAAAAGACAGGAAAAGACTATATTCTTCTAAAACATCCTAAAGTAAATATTGGATTATTCTATTAGAAGGTGCTGCTTTAGAAGTGATTACATGATGATTTGCCACTCTTTTTTGTCTGATCCTCTACAGGATTTTTTCATAGAGATATGAAGCCTGAAAACCTTCTCTGTATTGGACCAGAACTTGTGAAAATAGCAGATTTTGGTTTGGCTAGAGAACTAAGGTCTCAGCCACCTTACACAGATTATGTTTCTACCAGGTGGTAAGTATATTAAGAATTTAATACATTAGCTTAACTAATTACCTTTCTATTACCACTTTAATTTATCTGTTATTTCCTTCCATCCTCATAGGTACCGTGCTCCTGAAGTTTTGCTGAGATCATCTATCTATAGCTCACCTATTGATATGTGGGCAGTTGGCAGCATAATGGCTGAATTATACACACTAAGACCTCTTTTCCCAGGCACAAGTGAAGTAGATGAAATCTTCAAAATTTGCCAAGTACTGGGGACTCCAAAGAAGGTAAGACTTAAAAAGACTCTTACAGTTGTATTTTTAAAACAAACAAACAAATTTTTACAAAACATTGTGTTATCTATATTTCAGAACATACATATTGAATTATTGGTTTAGTAAGTTTCCTGAGGCTTAAGGTTTTCTCAACCATATTTCATTTAAGCTTCCATTATGGCATGTAATGCTAGTCCTTTGTTGTATATTAGCATCTGCTGTGTATCATACCATTATGTGTAGCCTTGTTCTCCTCTGGTGAAAGCCAGATAAAATTGTTTAATTTAGTTATTTAAAGCTATTCATATTGGAAAGCAAATCAGAAGTCTCCCAGGATTTCATTTGCCACAGCCAATATGCTTTCCCTTCTTGAAAGTGCAATTTTTCTGTGGTGGCACCCAGAATTTAGAGCTAGTAGAAGATACGATAAATAAGACAAATTATGCTTTTCTTTTGAATTTGATCTCAAACACAGATATGTCATAAATATTATTAGCAATAAGAAGTAATGGAGGGAAAATGTGCAGTCTTTTAGAGAGGAAACAATGTTTTTCAGTTACTTTCGGGATGGGATAAATACTATTTTAAATTACAAGGAAGGTTTGGTTAGGGCATATAAAAATGTATGCAATTTTTAGCAAATGAGTATGTGAACATGCAAGAAAAGGATAAGCTTACCTTCAAAATTTTGAATAAACTGAAAAAAAGACCATATACGATTAAATAATTTTGGAGACTAAGATAAGAAATGGCAGATGTCTGTCAGTACTTTATGGATGCAAGCAGAGCTTGGTGACACAACTGACTGAACACAGAGTCTCTAGATCTGGAAAAACCTAAGGGTGGGAGAGAAAAACCAGTTTCATTAGTGTTCTACTGATATAAAATATAATTCTTGTCTAGTAATGGAGCTGTTATCGATAGAGAAGGAACTGAAAACTTAGAAATAGATTAAACTTAGCTAGGAACATGAAGAGCTTGAAAGTGGTGGGAAGACATCCAAGAGAACATACTGAGAAACAGGTGCAAACTCGTGACAGAGCAGAGGATAAAAGGTCAAGTGGAGAGTTACAGATGGTATGTTGTGGAAGAGAAACTTGACTCTAGATGACTAAGTGAAAATTGGTATGATGTGTAAAACAATGCTTGCCATTACACAGTTATGCATCAAAATAATGCGGAATATGAGGAGTATTTTAGGACTTGTGTTTTCAAATGCAGATGTGAAGTTTCTTAAGCAGATCACAAGTCTAGGATACTAAGAAGAACATTTTGATATATATTAAGAATATCTGTGAAAGAGAGCAACATGCTAGCTTCAGGAACACTTTCAATGTATAGCATAAACACCATAAAATTCTAGAAGTGCAGGGAAGGGTTTTCATTTTGTAGAGCAATAGCTGAGCAGCACTGAGCTGACCACTGTGTTTTTTCTCTAACCTTACAAGTAGTTAACAGAAGCAAATTATGACTGTTTAGAGTGTCATTCCCTGACTAGGAAGCTTATTGCTTGGGAAAGCAGGGAGCATTACCAGCTGAGTATTTCAGAGAAAACTGTAGCCTCCAATAAAGACCCTAGGGGTTAGAGACAGCGTAAGTCAGCCCTCTACGATCCGGAAGCTGTAATTAGTTCCTTTGTGCCCCTGTCATCTGCTGGGCAGACTTGGGAATTTTCTCTCCTTACCACAATGCTAAAGGCATTCTTCAGGGAGATCAGTGTGTTAGAGGAGTACTTAAATATTATTATAGGAATTATCACAACAAATAATGTATTTGTTTCAAGTGAGGTACTGTTCTGCATTCTGAAAAACAGAAGTAGTTATTTTAATAGTGTGATTTTGCAGATAGTTTTACAAATAGTATTTTTTCAGACACAAATTTTGATTAATTCCATTATCCCACAATAAGGAATTACAGGAATTATGCACAATAGTTCATTCCAGTTTGCCTTCCTGTGTTTAAGCCCATGATACCATACTAATGACTTCTGTGAATTTGGGTGTTTTAAATAGTGACAGGCAACTTTTTTGTGTTATTTTATAAATTACGTTGCTTTATTTTATAAATAAATTGCACCACTCAAGTACTGGCAGTGATGGTGCACTTCTAATTTTATTTTTTTTTAATAAAAATGTATTTTTCATTTTTGCTCTTATACTGTTTTCACCCTATCCCTATACTTCACCAGTTCAACATTCAGCCCTTGGTACTTCATTGTAAACAGTTCCTTTATCACTACTTCTAGAAGACAGAATGTCACCAAATCTAATAAAGGAGGACAGTGCAGTGGAGGAGGAAAGAGTCTTTCTCCATTAATTTAAATGAACAAACTATTCTCTGAGGTGGAATAGGAAGTCACTTGAAGTCTTGAGACTTATTTTAACCAGATGTGGTTTATAATTATATTTGAGTTCTTTGGTTACCATGGACTGTGCTAACAGAGCTAATACTGTTGTACATAAAAAGATGAGTAATAGCTAACATGGTATCTTAAGACCAAATTCTATCAAATCAATCCAATTTGCCCTGTAGCAGAGTAATAGGCTTGGTGGATAGAGGAAAAGCACTAATATCCTACATTGTCTTCAGTAAGGCTTCTGATGCTGTTCCTCACAACATTTTCATCAGCATATATATATACAAACTGCGCAAGTGGATACCTGTTTTGAAGGCCTTCTTCAGAGAGTAAACTTCACTGGTTCTCATTCAAAATAAAAGATAGATTGAATAGAACTCAGGAGCAGTTCTGCATCTGATGAAATTTTTGAAATTGAATTCAAGTCCTTCGGATGGAACAGATTTTACTTCTTAAGTTGGTAGATAGGCTGAGAAGGATTGAGAATGTTAGAAAATAAGATTAGAATTTAGAGAGTTTTTCAAATAAAATTAGAGATGTAGCTTTACAGAAATTTCTACAGTAATGTGTTGAGTGCTGTACTTAGGCAGGAATAATCAGTTACATAAATATTTGTGGATAACTATCCAGCTAACACATCTGTAGAAGAGGCCATAGGAGATATATAGTGTATTTTATGTCAATAGTATTTTGTTGCAATAAAGACAAATACCATACCAGTGTGTAGAGAAAGGAGTATTGCTCATGGACATATGAACTAATCTTTCTGTTTCACTTGCTATATTACATCCAGTTTAAAGTTTCCCTTTTCAAGAGAAAAAGATCAGAGTCTAGAGAAGAAATAAAACTTTAAAAGCCTCGACCCAGGAATTGTTTGGGTTTCTTTAGCCTATACAAAGGACTACTGGAAGAAAAGAAGAAGAAATACATCTTCTAATGTATAAAAAAGCTGTTCTAGAGGGAAGAAAGAAGTAGTATTCTTGGTATCTATGGATGATGCACTCTTGTCCTTCAGGTAGAATGTTTCCAAGTGTGGTATTCACAACGATGGTTCCACCTTTACCTACAGGAGAGCTTGAGAAGGACTGCCAGAAACTGGAAGCTGATGTTGTATTCACTAGTGTTGTAACAATTGTAATGGGTAATAGGAATGCTTGTTTCCAGCTATTTAGCAAGGAGCCATGCAAACCAAGCATAACTCAAGCTGCATTAATTTTGATGTAATACTTCAAAGATACATAGTCTTTGTTCTTTTTTAGTATTAATTTTTCTTTCCTTTAAAACAGAGTGACTGGCCGGAAGGATACCACCTTGCTTCTGCCATGAATTTCCGTTTCCCACAATGTGTCCCTATAAGCCTAAAAACTCTCATCCCAAATGCAAGCAATGAAGCAATACAGCTCATGAGTGACATGCTAAACTGGAATCCAAAGAAGAGACCTACAGCAAGTCAGGTCTGAGCAGATGAATAATTAAGTATAAGGCTGAATTTTCTTGCATTGTTAAAAAATTGTAGATACAGAAACCATTTGATTGTCATAATACTGATGACCACAGAAACATCTCCTCACTTTGAACACTTGTGTGGGAATGAGACTGAGTGGTGAGGAGAGAAAGTTCTAAACCTGGCTCAGCAGACATCATAAACTCTTCAGTTATTTCTGCAACGTTGTCTTCTGTATTGGCATATTTTAAAACTCTCTCCATACAGAACAGAGAAAAAGCTGAGCCACAAGTTTCCTCAGTTGTGTTCTATAAGTCACTTCTGCTACCTTTGTTTTCCTCCCCATCTGTGCAAAGGGTGTTATTGAAAACTACGCTTTGCTTTTTGTGAAGCTGCAGATGGAATACAGTATGGAAGAGCTAAGGATTATTTTTACTTGGAGGTGGAATGTAAATTGCACTAAGTGATAAGGAAAGAACTTTGTGAAGAACATACCAATAGATCACAAAGGTCACAGTTTTTCTCCAAGTTGATTTGAAGAAAACATATTTCAACTACCAAAGATGGTTACATTCTGTGGATTTATTTTTTTTTATATTCATACCTAATGCAATCCTATTTAGAAGTATAGGAAGGAAGTATAGAGGAAATTGGGAAAGAAAAGACATATTGCAAGTTGGATGTAATGTAAGTGATTCAGAAGTGGTTAAACAGATGGTACCAAATACAGCAACCATTTCTATCCACTTTATAAAGCATAACTATTGTACAGCCACTGAGATCTATCTGTAGTCCACTACTATGTATCTCTACACAAAACACTGTATGGTGCCATATAAAAGCAAATAACCAGCTTTTACACAAGTGAGTTATCAAGGAAGCAGCTGCAGCAGTTGTGCAATTTACAGTCAAAAGAAAGAGTTTAATGCATATACATGGTAATGTGTAAAAGGCAGCAATTCTTGAGTGTAGCTGAGGCAAAATACCTCTTTGAGAACTAACAAAGAGTAGGATCCTACCCAGAAGGAGTAGCAGAATGTGCTGTTTTGACATAGAAGTAGGTGTGTTACTAAGGTGTGTCCAGTGGTGGACATGAAAAGGTCAGAGTAAAAGGATGAAATAAACATCTGCCTTAAGACAGACATTGTAGTTTCCTAATAAACACCATGAAGACACAGCAAGCACAGTGAATGTATTTCAAAGCAAAACAAAAGCAGGGAAAGCTGGTGATAAGAAAAATGAGGGAGAAACTTTGCTCATTAACATTCTGTAATTGTAAAACCCATACATGGCAATCATCTCACTTCTTTTTTTTACTTGGTTTTCTTTGTTTTGTTTTGTGGGTATTTTTGTTTGTTTGTTTGCTTTTTGTTGGGTTTTTTTTGGGGGGGTGTTTGTGGGGATTTGTTTTGTTTGGGTGGTTTTCTTACCTGGGGTTTTTTGCCTTTGTTTGTTTTTGTTGGGGGTTTTTTGTTTGGTTTGGTTTTTTTAATTAAAAAACCCCAGACTGTTCCTTGAGTTGCCAAAACATAGTCAGCAGTGGAAACATGCAATAAAGCATGTGGTAAAGGTAGTGGAGACTACTTGTTTTAAAATTGAGATTTATTACTGCATGAATTTAGAATGGTGTTGAATGTAAAACACACCTCAAAGCACAGACTCCACAAAACCTAGCAGTAAAGGAGGGAAAGAAAGGACATGACTGCTGTAACATGCACAATTGGATCCTTCTTACTAAGTTATGATGGGAAGACTTTGAAACACAGAACTGCCAGTTATCAATACACACTGTTTACATATGATCTCATTATGCATCCATCCTGCATCTGTGCAGGATTTGCTTCCTTAAATGTTTCAGAAACCTGCTTAGATCCTTGCTGAGGTTACCAAAATCAACTTTTTGAAGTAAAATTAGTATGTTATGTCTTCTTCTCCAGGCTTTGAAGTATCCTTACTTTCAAGTTGGCCAAATTTTAGGACCTCCTCCAAAATATCTGGAGAAGCAGACTCCTATTAAACCGGTTCAGCCAACAGAGCCAAAGCCAGCTTTTCCTAAACTGGAAGCTATATCCAAGCCAGAACCTCTGTCTTCACCTGATTTACCTGACAAAACAGAGCCACAGCCCCTGCCAAAGGTTAACCACCAGCCTCTCCAGCAAATTCAGTTGCCTCAGAATACAGCTAACCAGCAAGTACCAAAGCAGCAGCAGCCACAGGCACAACCATTTTTTCCAATTATCAATAAAAATTCATCACCTGTAAGTTGTCTTTAATAACTACTTAGATGGTTTTATTAAAAGTTCTTAGTATATTCAACCAGGTGATTACTTGTAAATTGTCCTACATTTTGTTAGAGGAAATACAAATAGATAAGTAGGAACTAATAGAGGATATGCCAGGTCGCTTACTAAAATTTTGCAGCCAGTCAGAAGAAAAGATTGCTTGGAACAACAATGTGTGTTCATTTATAATAGCCCTTACTGACATGCTTATGCAGTAACGTAGTCATAAAAGCTGTGACTTATTGACCTTTGAGAAACAATTCACAAAAATACTGTCAGTATACAGGAGAGAAGTGGAAAGGGAGAACTTCTCTTGCCTCATGCAGGAAAATACCCAAGAAGGTTTATCCAATTCCTAACCTTGCAAGAATTTAACAATTAATATTTTTTTGTAAGATGAATAGTAAACTTTGGTTTGTAATCTTCATTTTGCTTTTGGGTTGTACTCACTGAACTGCAATATAAAGCATGTTAAAAGTAAAAGGTATTGAGAAAATACTGGAAAGCAAATGGTAGTCAGATGAAGGGATAGTTTTTAAATTTAGTAATTTCATTGGAAGAGAATGTTAAAGAAAGGCCTGACAAGCTTCTTTTATTTGCTGTATTTACTTTGGGGCCACAGCAGTGTTCTGCACCATTGTATTCTATTTCTCGAAGGTTCATCTACCACTGTTTAGAGCACAAGTTCAACAAGATACCAGCAGTAGAGGCTGAACACTGAACTGGATCTGCAAATAGAATGTTAACCTCACTACTTTAGGTAGACTTGGGCAATTTAAGGATGAGAGTCCAAAAGAACTACACTCAAAATACATGCTGGCATTATTGTTATAGTTTGTACTTAAAGTCATTCTGAGACTATGACCAAAACAGGCACAACGTAACGAGAAAAATTCCGTCAAAGTCTTTAACCAGTATTCAGAAAGTAAACTAGATAACAAAATATAAAATTTTAGAATGGAATTAAAGCTTTTTTTTTTATTATTTAAAATAGAAACAAGCAGCTAGTGGCCCTCTGAATGTTGCACTAGGTCCTAAAAGCTGCAGAAGACGATGGGGTCAGACTTTGGTAAAGGCTATGGATAGCTGGGATGACTTGGATGACCCTGAATTTGGAATGTCATGTTCAAAGAAGCCTAGCATTGCACTGTTAAAAGACAAGAAAAACAAGGAATTTATTTTTAGGTAGGTCCTACAATTATGAAATTGTATTTTCGTTTAGCAAACAGTCCAGTAGATTTATAGATTGATTAAGACAAGTCTGCTAAAATTCAAGTCACCAAAATTCTGCAAGAATGCCAAAAGCTGTATGAGCAGACCAGCTTTGGGTGTGGTGTTGATATGGTGCTAGTAGTATCCCAACACAATCAAATTTGCTTTCAGGCACTACATGGTTTAGGTGTTTCTTGTGTTATTAAGAAAATGTCTGCCTTACTAAAATCAGACATACTAACATAATTTCCTTTGTCTGTTAAGTGATACTGTGTTCTGCCAGTTATCCCCTTATTCTGTACTGTTGGATACACTTATTTCTTCAAATACCAGGTCAAACTCTCATGAGGTATTAGATTTGGCTGTTACTTTTTGGAAATAGACTCTGCTGATGAAAGTGGGATAACTGAAGAGCACCCTATTCTTCAGGCTAAGGTCAGCTTGTGGTATTCTGAGATGGAGGTGTTGGTCACATTGTTTGAAAATTTTGATCTTTCAGTGTGCCAGAACCAAAGCCTTCATGCTGTTTCCAGCCAGGAGGGGAAAATAAAGTTCTGATGAGAAATGATTCTGGAAGATCAAATACATCAGCAAAACAGTACTATCTGAGACAATCAAGATATCTACCTGGTAAGGTTAAAAGTTAATACGTATAGAAAATACAAGGTGGGCACAATCTACATACAGTACATTTAAACTTTGGATTTCTCACTGGATAATTTAACTGTTTATAACCAGGCTAAATTTTCAAGCTTTGGACTAAATGCCTTTCCCAGAACATATTACAATTGATGCAGAAGTTCATGGCTATGTAAACATGGCTTGTACACCGTAAAAGTTCACAGGACCTCTTATGACCAGTAACATAAAAAATCCTCAGTAATATAAATCCAACATCTCTGGGACTACTAGGAATATATCCTGATTGACCTATAAGCAAGTGTGTCTGAGGACTGAATAAACTACATATATTCTCTTCATCAGGAACCACAGTGATAGGACAAAGAGTAATGGGTTCAAACTGAAAGAGGAGAAATTTAAATTAGATATATAGAAGAAATTCTTTACTGTGAGGGTGGTGAGGCACTGGAATAGGTTGCCCAGAGAAGTTGTGGGTGCCCCATATCTGGCAGTCTTCAAGGCCATGTTGGATGGGGCTCTGAGCAACCTGATCTAGTGGGAGGTGTCTCTGCCCATGGCAGGAGTGTTGGCATTAGAAGATCTTTAAGGTCCCTTCCAACCCAAACCATTCTATGATTTTATACATATATAATGCATATTTATCAGTTTTGCAGTGTCAGGAGGTTGGAGGTCTTTACACAGTTAGCCTTCTTTGTAGGAAGTGTTTAGAAATATCAACCACTGGCACTGGTAGGAATTCACACATTCACTTCCCCTCCCCGGGTATCTTTAAAAATAGATAACTTAGTCTAAATCTGGGTGCTTTTATCGGGAAAATAACATGAAATTATGTAATTGCTAGAAATGAGAATGGAAAGGAGGGGAAAGCAAAGAGAATGTTTCCTTCAATAAGTATTCTAAATATATACTATAATCAAATTATTTTCTTGGTGTCACTTAGTGTCAGTTATTTGTTAGCATGATGCTTTGTACAGTTCCAATAAGCATATCATGACTTCTGCTGTAATCCACATGTGAGAATTTAGGTGGCTCACAAAGGAATTCCTCATTGTCAGGCAAGTTGTTTTGTTACAACATATCATTAATTTGTCAGGAATTCATTAGGGCAATGATGACTTCTGAATATGAAATCACTTCCTGAGTGTTAAATAGGATGCCCAGAGACTCAACAGTTTAAGTCCAAAAGAAAAGAAAAAGAAAAATATAAAGGGCGAGGAGCTTCCCTATCTAAAGGTAACACAAATGGAAGGTTCATCTATATTTCTTATCTTCTTTTAAGCATGATTCTAGTGTCTCTCTGGTTTTCAGTAAGAAAGGCATAGATGTAAAAAATAATTAATTCCAAGATTTAAGGGAATAATAGCTCCAAGGAGCATATTTGTTATTTATACATATTACTTCAGTTCTGTAACCAGCAGATCTGGGAGCTGTTTTCGTGCAGTGTAATCCCCTTAAGTCTTGTAATGCTCCTAACATGCGAAGTAACAAGAACCTCTTTGTCCTACTTTTTAACTTAACCCTTAAAGAAATAGTTTATTTTCAGTCTTGAGAACCCTAGTTTTTGATAGGTATTTTTAATTTGTGTTAATTTTTTGGTAGACAAAAATATCAATAATGCGATTATGGTTTTATAGAAACCAAGTAACTGTACTAAAAAGACTGTTAAAAGTTCTCTTGAAAGCATGAAGAGAATTTTTCTTAAATCAGTGTCACTAGCTTAGCTTAAAAATCTAACCTAATAAATGGACATCGTTAATTTACATTAATGGTGTTCACGTTATAGCACAAATAATTCAGTGTTGGTTCACTGTTCTAAAAATGTGCATTTTTCATGGGTTTCATAATGTTTGAAAATTGATATTTATAACATTATCTATCATTTGTTTTCTAAGGTGTAAACCCAAAGAGTGTCTCTTTAGCAGCAGTCAATAGAGAAGGATCACAAGGAACCTGGAACAACCAGTTGTTTTCTAAATCACTGGCACATACTGGAGGAGGATTGACTTTCAGCAGAAATACTACAGGTAAAAGTGTAATTGAAAATGATCACATTATATCTCATCATACTTTATTTAATTAATTTAGTTAAGACCATCTGGTTTAAATTCTGTGGTTAAGCTTAGCTTCTAAGCTTTTTTTTCCTCTTGTTTTAACAAATGACTCAACAACTTTTTCAAATGTAAAACTATGTATTTTGCTTTCAGAACATTAAGAAGGTATAGACCAGCCACTCTTTATAAAGTTTTCTCAAGATAAATTTTGTCCATAATCCTCTTAGACCATAGGCACTGTATTTAAGCAAATAGTCTGACCTTATTACTGCCTGCTCAGTGTGCTATGGAACATTAGCAAACAGCAGTGTCACCTGCGAAAACAAAATGGTGAGTGGTGTGCTCATGTAATAAAAGTGCTGCCTAATATTCTAAATATGTCTTTTATCTGTTTACTAGCCTTGTCCTAAATACTGTGCTGCAGGAAAAGTCCCCTTATTTTCAGGAACTTTCAGGGAAGTTATTTTTGGGAGTATGTTTTGTGAAGTACACTATTAGTGAAGACCAAGGCTAGTTAAACAAAGTTTCATTCTTGCTTGCTTTTTTCCGCCTCAGTTCTTTTACATCACCTAAACAGGTTCTTCTTACCCTTTTTCTAAAGTTCTGTCTTTCCATCTTTTTCTTCCTTTCATTTTCCTTACCTACAGATGAGAACTTAATTATACCTATTGAAAAGCTATCATGCAAAGAAAGGTTTAATGAAAAATTAGAAGATCCAAAAGGTAATTTATAGCAATTGTAGCCTAGTTCTTTGTATGTTTCTTATCTTTTACAGTTCCCTGTAAAACAATTACGTTTATAATGCATGTTCCTGATGATCATATGCTTCCATTTGCAGTTGTAATCTGTTTTGTCAAACCTTGCTCTCTTCATTGTGACTTCTGGATTCTTGGCACTTACTGTCTTAAAAGGCAGAGAGTATTTTATTATCCTAATTATAATCCACAGCAGGTCACTGCCCTGTTGCTGGATAATGGTGAAGAAGTGATCCTTAAGCAGCATGTGCATCTCTCCTGAAGGACTGCTTGTTCATGACAGGACTTGGGACTTGCACCATTTCCTGCATTTGGATTCTCTACCTGATTCTTACACTGATTTTACAGTGCTGTGGTTGAACAGATTTTGGTGGAGTTACCTCAGCGTAAGAAGGTGGAAACTCTGGATTCCAGGCAGCCTAGCTTGTGTCTAAATACACTGTTGGCTATAAGCATTGCAAATGCTGGAATGTTTTACCTCTCCCCCTGTTCCTGCCCCCTCTGGTGTGTACTACCCATGTGACACATCTCATTGCAACTACTTGTAGGGTTTTTTGAACTCACTACCCACCTCAAACAATTCAACGACCTTATCCTTTACGAAGAATCAGGTGTGTGTTGTTTGAGATGGGGGTATGGCTTTGGCCACCCTTGTGGGACATCATGGCAATGAGTGCTTGCCTATAGACCAGCTGCCAGACCTCCTGGATGCCTGATGGATGATTACTTCTCTAGCAAGAACCCTTTCCTTTGTATGGCAGTAGTCAGAGGTAAGGAACTGCGCTTTTAAATAGGATGTTTTTAAATTTGTAGCTATTCTGTTATTTTATATTGAACTTTTTTTCCTGCTTCCTTTGTTCTCATCCAACAAAAGATCACCCCTGCAGACCGCTCTGTTTCACCCAGACTGTTCATCCTGGCTGCACTTTTTCACTTCCTGCAGAAGAAATCATAAAGGACATTGGACATTGAGAGGTAAGGAGAACCAAAAAAATGGTTGAGCAATTTTTGACAACTAAGCAGCTTTGCCGAGCTGTAGCAAAGAAGCAGATAGAAGTAGTCTTTTCGAGGTTGTATTAATCGAGGCCTGTCATGTTCTTATTTTCAGACCTCAGAATTTTAAGGAATGTTATTGAGTTCTCAGATCTGAACTACTCCCAATAGCTAGGAACTGGGGAATAAGAGAATGTGCGTGTATATATCCACAAGCAGGTGAATGAATCACTAAAACTGTGTTGTTTTGGTTTTCAGGCAAATTCCTGAAAAGGAAGAACAACTTAGAGTCTACAAGAAAGTTAAATTTCATTGGAATACTTCATTAAAGTTTTATTTTTCACCAGCTGTATTGATGCGTCATTCTTTACTGTGGAAACTGGCATTAAGTGGACAGAGGAAAGCTACATGGAGACCCAACTATTTGCAGAGCTGTGAAGTGACAGTTTGAGGAGACTGGCAAAACTGAGTTAGCTGTACGCTTTTTGTTAGTGCTCCTGAACAGGGAGGTTTGCAACAACCCAATGCAGCTGTAATTAGCTAAGGATACCTTTTTTGGGTTGTAGATGACCACTTTTGCAGCTTATAGATCCACTGCTCTGAGCTCTGACATAATCAGAGAGGACTGAGAGTGTTTGTGTGAAGAGGAACATTAGGGGATTGCACAAAGGCCAGAAATTTAGGAGACAAAAACTGTCAAAGTAGATACCGCATGTTTAGTGCAACTACCACTGAAACTATGATTAATATGCTCACATTTAATAAAGGTTAAACTACTGCGTATGGCCTTGTATTTCACAATTTAATACTACTGAACACAGAACCATACCACTAGAGAAAAGCATTTCTCTCTGGACATTGTGCCAGCACAGTCTTTATACTGTCCCAAGTGATGACAGACATGAGGAAGGTAAGAAATTTTCTTAGAGGAGGGAATCTAAGTATTGTAACAGATCCTTCTGCCACTGGACATTAATTTCAGTACTAATTTTGTGTGTATATGCACAATGCTTCTCAGCTTCCAAACAAGGATGGTTATGTCAACCTTCCCATGGTAGTACTGCTTTAAAGAAAGATCTGAATCAAAACTAGGCATAGTATTATAACCAGGGTTAAAGAAAGAGGGTAGTTGGGTCTGACCTTTATAGTAGGCAGTGGAACTGGCAGTCAACTTCAAGTGGTGCACCACTTCCCACAAGAGAAATTGGGTTTCCATTCTTTTAGATTTAGGCCAAACATGTTGAGCATAAGAGTAGGGCTGAGTGCTAGTTTTCAAATAGCTTAAACTAGCTTCCGGTAAAGCAAGTAGATGTAAGCAAAAGGTAAGATCCTATCTATCTTTCTCTAAAACTTGATGTAAACCTTTCTATGTTCACCCTTCTCTGTTGTTTTTTTCCTGCTGATCTCCAGCTTGCAAATCTGCTAAGTGCTGTAAAGGGTATAACTAATATACAAAGCAAAGAATGAATATATACTTTTTTTCAAGAGATGAGCACTAGGGAGTACTCTTGGGGTACTGCAAATATATTTTGAAGTGACTATAAAAAGTAGGCAAGGTTTTCTGAATGCCACTGAAAATTCTAAAATTCTGTAATGTCAACAGGAAATCCTGGCTTTGTAAGTAGTGCTGCTTACAACCCATCAGGAATATACACCTCATCCTTCCATAAAAAAGAAGTTGGATCAGCTGGACAACGGATACAGCTAGCACCTCTTGGTGCACCTGTATCAGGTAAGAAATATCCTTTTACCATACATAACCAAGACAAAGAGAAATGTTAATTTTCCATGCTTCCAAAGAGATTAGCCCTTAGTAAAGTTTTCCTCAAGTTTTATAACTGAAACTGTAGGGCATAAATTGTTCTTAACATAAGTGAACTGAATGTAGGTGTATAGAGGCAGTCCTGATAGCTAGAGAAATTATTGCTACTAATATTTATTAGGTAAAAAAGAAAATAATTACAAAAGGTGCAAACCTTGTATAATTCTAGAAAGTTTGGACCATTTTCTAAATTATGGCTCATTAGTGGTGATGGACTAAGCAGAACTGTAAAAATATGTAACTCCACAACTCTGTAGTAAATGGTCATGTAGACTGGACTCCATTCATCTGGTAAAAACAATGTGAAGTCCGTTCTAAATGTAACTGTTACCTTGGATCCTCTACAGTAGGGATGACATTCTGAGCACGCACTTTGTATGTTCCTAATTCAGAGAAGATGAGCAGAAGTGCTCAGGATGCAGGGGAAACTGGTTTGTGAGTGAAGATTTAGAGCTCTTGTCCAAACCCAGCAGCATGCTTCTCTAGTTACTCAGAGGAAACAGCAAGGCCCTCAACTACTGGTGAATTGTTTAACCAAAGGGCTTATGGCACACCAATCTCATATGGTCCTGCTTAAATAATGTCTTTTTGCTGATGTGCTCTTTTGAGTTACCTGTTCTCCTTAGGAATTTGCAAGTAACTTCTGAGAAGCAGAGAGGGAAGGAAGGAAGAAGATGGCATGCATATATAAAATATGCTTAGATGTATATGTATTCTGTGCCTGAGTGCATCAGAAGCCCACCAGGGAAGGCTGGAACTGCAGTTCATTATCTTATCAACTCACTGCTGGAACACAGCTGCGAGAGTTTTGATTTGTCACAGTGTGTGGATCAAGAAGTTCATAGGAGGACAAAATCTGCAACTATCTCTAGACTGCTGTGAATAGTGTGGAAGAGAAGGGATTAGATATGGTGTTCCAAAGGGAAATAAATTCACTGTTAATCTGTAATTAGAAATAGAAAATGTGTAGTAAAAGTCAGAAAAGTGGGCAGATGGAGGTCAATTAAGACACTCTTCCATGTCCTGGAAAAGAGCAAGAATACTATTGCTTTAAACCCCTCATATTTAGCCTAAACTTTGCAGACTTGCATGGGAAGAGAGATAAGGATGAAGCAAATGGCAGGTTTTATCTCCTAGCTGTCAATATTTGAACGTTAACATTTTTGGTGACCCTTTGCTTTGCATTATGCAAACTGAAATAAGTTATGCTCTCAATTGTATTTCTCTCTTAACTTGTTAAGTTTTTTAATGTCTTGATTTAAATAATTTAATGTAGTATAAAGGATCGGTTTCTCTGTGGAAAATGCCAAGACCCAGGAAAAGTGGCCTTCATTGCCAAGCTACTGTAGACTGGAATCATACTTTCTGACCTAAGATAGGGAATGCCAGCCTACAATAAAAAGGAACAGTATTAGTTTTCATAGAGGTGGAGACCTGACCCCCAGTTTCAGTTCCTTGATGTTCCTCCTTTTTAAATGCCTTGATCCTCACCTGTTCTTTAATGGGTTCAATCCACTGTTTGTGTAAGAAACAGAATGATACACAGGCACCAAAGAACCATTAAATTTAAATGTGAATTTTTTTTAAAGAGTATCACCAATACATAATAAAAGAAGACTTAAACTACAAATGTAGGAATGGAAGGGGCAGGATCTACTTTGAGAATGCTAAGGTATAGCAGGAGTCTGGATAAGAGAGGTCCCAAATGACTGACTTTAAAGAATTGGGAAAATGGCAGAATTGGTCATGAACATGAAGAAACATCAGCCCCCATAGCAGCACAATGACTGGAAGGAAGTGCCAACTACCTGAAATGCAAAAAGGGGAAATCTGAGTAGGAAGGCTAGGAATACAGTAATACACTACTGCTAGTGCTTGATATCAGGTGGATACCAATATTAAGGAATAAGAAAACCTTCAGACTTGGAATAGATCCTATAAAATCAATGGAGAAATGGGAAACGGAGCAAAGAGGACTTGTCACCAGTTAAACCAGGAGTTCTGAGTTGAGCAGGAGGGGAATAAAAGGCATAAAATCTCAAAGGGAACAAGAAGGTCTCCAAAAGCTGTCCTTCAGTCTAAGCTGTTTGAGTCTTAATAAGTTTATCAATGTTATAATTACATGCTTTTGTAAATATTTGAGATAGAAGAAAGAACACACTCATTCTGTAGCAGTTTTATAATAGGAGATACAGAATTGTAGGTATATGCATCAGTTTTTCTACTGAATTTCAGCCTCAATGTTTTCTTGAGGGATTGCTGCAAAACAAGTATCCAGTAGGTCAGGATTAAACACACAAACTATAGGAAACATGCACCTTATCTTAAAACAAGTACAGACAGCATGCTCTCAGGCACATAGTGGGATTCTTGCAGTTGTCCTGTGCAGTCAGGAGTTGGACTTGATCCTTTTGGGTCTCTTCCAACTCAGGATGTTTTATGACATGTAGGAGACCAAAGCACCCTGCTACATTGGCACCCTTAAGTACCATAAGTCATCTTTAACCTCTCATTCTTTTCTCTGTAAAGAAGTAAAATATCTTTTTAGTCATCATTAATTCTGAGTTCTTGTTCCTTCCAGACTTTTCCTGGAAAACCAAAGCTGCCTGTGCTCCATTACCAGGTCCTACCTTCAATTCACCAGCAAAAAACATGAGTATCTTAACTTACCCACCAACAATTCAGCGAGTACATGGAAGAACAGACTGGGTGGCCAAATATGGAGGAAACAGATAGAAAATGCCATCCTGTACAGATACTACGTGTGCTGTGTTCGGTTCTCCTGCACTTGGAAACCTGAAATGCCTACTTGCTCTAACTTTTCTTAAGACTATGCAATAGTAAAGAAAAAAAAAGACCTTGTGTTCTATTACCTCTTATAGTACACATATAATACCATGTAAAATACTGGCTATAAAGTAGGATGTAATGAAGTATTGTATAACACATATTGCCAAAACTACTGGAAGTAGATTTCATTTGACATTTTTGTATAGATGATCTTCTATCCCTGTGCTCTTAAACACAACTCTTACGGTTATTCATCCAGTGCAATGTCCACTGTTGGGATATGCTTGAAGCACACAAGCAGTTAGAAGTAGGGCTGAAGCAGAGCAGCACCAGGCTTCCAGGTGTTAGGCTGGTTCCTCAGCAGGAAGATGAGAGTGAAAGCACAGCTCCAGCTTTGTGAGGAACACCTCCTCTCCTACAAGGATTCCAGAACTCACTTGTAACTAAGAATTACTCAGGGTCTGTAAGGTGCAAATATTCATGTAGCAATGAGAGCTTAAATCCTTGTAGTGGGACATAAGCAATCCACTACACAAGAAAACTCTAAAAACTTGGCTGATACATGGCTGTAGAAAGATATAGCAATATTGGAAAATAGCTAAACAAGTACCGAATGCTAGACTTAAGCTGTGAAGTGAAGCCTAACAATTAGATTCTGCTGTTATAATTAACTTAATGCCATTTTTGGTCAAAGACCTGTAGAGATTTTCCTCTGTCCTGTCAAGGGAGTGTCACAGTGACCTTTTAAGAAGCCTGAATCACTGTGGTCTGTCAGTCATTTTAAGGGTGAATTAGCCAAAAATGCATAAATTATCAATAAACTCCTGTTTCTATATATCTTTATTGGGTGATCAAACTTAAACTACAGAAGTTGAATAAGCTACATGAGGGAGGATATTGGGCTGTTCTTTAAAAATATTGTTTTCTGGTTTAGATCTTAAAGGCCAACTTAGGTACCTAAAAACACACAGAAACTTTAATAATTCATTGTGTCGCTGTTTATATGTTCATTCAGTACTTTCCCCAGCTTTTATGGTAAGTTTTATAATAATATCGTGCAAAGGACTTTGCAATGTACAATAAACTGTTTTTTTAGGATGTTGAACTAGGCTACTTCTGTTAACAATTGCATTTAGAATAGATGCTTTAGACTTAATACTTACATTAAACTTGCCATTTTAAAGTATAAACAGAGTATGTTCTTCAAGGATTTAAAGCTGTTAATGAATACTTTAAGCATTGTAAAAAAAGAATGTATTTGTAGGCTTTTATAATGGATATTAAAATTTAAATTTCTGTTGTTGACCCAATCTTTCATAATATATAGGTTACATTAATTTCCTGGAAAGCAATTTAATCTAAAACAGTTTTACCAAAAAGTCAAATATTTTGTTATTAAAATTGCACCTAAAGAAAATGCCACTTTAATACTGTAGGAGCTATACAGGGATAGGGATATATGGTTAGTAATGCACTAGAGAGTTTAATTCAATTGCCATTGGTTTAGGATTAAATATTTGTCGTTCCCTTAGTACTAACAGATGTTCCTATGCTATTTAAATGTGTCTTAATTTATTG